CGTTGAAAATGTGTTTTGCAATTTAAAAAAAATCGCAAGAGACTGACACTGCACAAAAATCAATACCCTGTCCGGTGGTAAAAGCTGTTTGTGGCACCAGGGGTGGCAGTACCGCATTAGCCACTGGTTGTTGGCTGACGTGGGCGGGGTATCGCACGTGCATTAAAAAAAATAGGCAGGGTTCTTTAGTCTTCTGATCTTAATCGATTCGTGGATGTTAACAGGTGCTTTGTCTTGGTAACATAAAAGGGACTACAGCTAATAACCCCTTCAATGCAACAGACTGGCTTGTCAGTTGCCTGACCTAAATTCGTTTGCTATGACCCGTGGGGACTGACGCAGTCTGCCTCGCTTTTCATAGACGGAAGTTATCAAGGAGCATGATGACATTGAAAGTATGAGGCTGTCAAGGCGATTGGGAATGACATCTAGGTAATTGGGGGCACCTTCAGTTGGAGATTGATTGAACGGAACGGGTTACCTGACTTGAAGGTATTTCTACCTGGGCAAAGTTACACGCTGTTTCTATCAAAACCCATTACGATTTTGCCTTTGATATATGTGCCAATGAAGCCCTAATCAAACTGGGTATTATGATAGGTAGTTTTGGTATTGTATATTTATAGCCCAACACCACTTTTTAGCACGCCTCTCTTTCATTTAATAATAATAATAATAATATTTTATTATAAGTCTACTTTCTTTCTTCGCACGACGATTACGCCTTGCCAATAGCTCATAGATAATGGACTATCCTATTCTTATCGCGTGGAATGACGGAAAAACATATGAGAGACGCTACTTGGTTTCAGTGAAAAATTGAAAAAAAGAAAGATAAAGGAAGGGAAGATAGATGAGGTGACAGCATAATCGTTTATTTAACGTCTGTTTCAGTGTAAAGTAAAAAAAAGTCAAATTCCAATCTCTTCATTTGTACCCCCTTACTTCTTAAAATAACGACCAACTTTACATTTATGATTGTTATTTCAATATCTTGTTAAAGGTCTTAGGCTGAAATATTTACCGATTCGATCTGGGAATTTCTATGAATATTTTAGTGTTGTAACCTCATCATGACCTAATTCAATAATTAACTTAAGGATAAATAGAAAAGAGAAAAAATAGGGAAAAAAAAAAGAATTAAAAATCAAAAGATGTAAAATAAAGAGATTTTAACGACAAAAAAATAAGATGCGTTGTTGTTTTCGGTTGAAATATATAAAATTTACTTCTTAATATTTTCGCACGAAAATAGGTTTTGTACAATAGCTGTTATCGTTCTTCCCAGTATTGATAGGGGCTTCCTTCCTAACTTTTTGTTTGTAGTGTGGAATGTCAACATCTTGATTATGTCATTATTTTCTCTTCTCAAGCCCTGTAGCTGTTATCAAAATATTGATGGCGGTTTCCTTTCTAACATTTTGTTTGAAGTAGTGTGGAATGTCAACACCTTGATTATGTCATTATTTTCTCTTCTCAAGCCCTGTAGCTGTTATCAAAATATTGATGGCGGTTTCCTTTCTAACATTTTGTTTGAAGTAGTGTGGAATGTCAACATCTTGATTATGTCATTATTTTCCCTTCTCAAGCCTTGTAGCTGTTATCGCTCTTTCAAATATTGATGGAGGTTTCCTTCCTAACCTTTTGTTTGAAGTAGTGTGGAATGTCAACATCTTGATTATGTCATTATTTTTTTCTTTTTAAGCCCAGCAGCTGTTATCACTCTTCCCAGTATTGATAGGAGTTTCCTTCCTAGCAGTTTATTTGAAGTAGTGTGAATTGCTAACATCTTGATTATGTCATCATTTTCTCTTCGAGTTAAATGCACTATCCATTTTAGTTATTGCTGCTGTTAGTGGTCTTTTGGTTACTTGATTTCTGTTACTTGTTATCGATCTTTATGAATCTTTAGCGCCATTCCATAACGTTGAAAAAAAGATGATCTTTGCCAAGGCCCACAGGTTTCACTCGCTCAATTTTTTTTTTTTCACCATTACTCCTATGAAGCTTTTTTATGCAGCTGAGAGCTTAAAATAAAGAATTTAAAGCGAAAGAAAAGGATAAATAAACAAGTGATGGGAAATAAAGGCAAAAGAAAATATTTGTTGAATAAAAAACAGAACGAAACTGGAGGAAAAAATGACGGAATAACAGCAGTTAAGTGCTGGTTCCACGTTCTTCAAAATTTCCAATCTCACGATCAGAAGTCTTGCTGCCAGATGTAGTTTATCGTCATACCCAGGATTGAAATACAAAATGGGCTGGTTCAGTATTCGAAGGGTGGGGAATAAGACAGGAGATAGATGTCGATTCGGTTCTACGGGCAAATGTACAGTCAGACACATTAATCATGGTTCAAGTCGAAAGGCAGAAATAGCTTCCCCAACGAAAAAAAAAAAAAAATATCTGTTCTCGCACCTCGTTTGTTTAGCGTCTTCAGATTTGCGTCAATTTTAAAATTCGTGTAATGAAAGGAAAGGATTTCTTCATGCATTCTCTC